AAAAACACTTCCAATAAAATTTAAATTTAGAATCAAGAATTCACCTAATTGGTAGCTGAATCAAAGGGCAGACAGCGCCTCTTGCAGCTAACTTTGTGATTCTATGTACGGGTTTTTTCTCGTACAGTTGTGTGACAGCGTGTGCGAGAGATTATATCGAAGGATCTCCATTTGGATCAACTCCATCTGAACGCCGCTAGAAGGATTCGATTGTTCTCTTGAAATAATTCAAGAGAACAAACCCCACCACAAAAGGAACTCAGTGGAAGTGAAAGCAAATAGACCAATGAAAAGATTGAAAACAAAATTATTATGACTGGCAATGAAAGCTTGTACAAAGTACACTCACACATGAAAACATTCAGGATCAGTTGGATTAATAGGTAGAATACATTTGCTTATCAGTCCAATAGCACCGCTAGTTTCAGCTTCAACAAAATCGGAAGTCATCCTGTATAGTGCCCTATGTCTAATGATCTTGTAAAAAAATAATGGTAGGCAATATAACATGACGGTATCTACAGCCATGATATTGCCACAAATATTGTACAATGACTCCAGAGTCTAGAAAGAGCAGACATGATACCTATAATGACATCCGTGCTGCAAAGTTTCAGGTGAAGATAATCAAACATATGAGTAGAGCTTGAGAAACATGAATAGTGTATGAACCACTGTTATTTAGTTACACGGGAAGATGGTTTACAACATCTTAAGAATGTTAGATCTTTAGAATCCTAGTTAACCATGTGCAGCAAGACAAATTGATAGTTTAACTGAAAGATTGTCATGCTAACGAAGTAACTCGAACCTTGTGCACAATTAAAGAGATTAAGATTTACATACCAACACAAGAACTATAGCCATCTCCCTTAAAGTGCACACCATTGACTATAGGGCATTCATAAACTCTTCCTTGAAAGGTATCCTGAACGTGCACAACAAATACGTAAGAATGATATAACATTTCACACAAAAACTGCAAATTTTATTAGACCACCTTGCAAACCGTGATATTAGCTATCTTCTCTTCCTAGCAGCCACCATTATTGTTCATGCCCTCGTTCATCTCTACATCAGCACCCAAAAAGTTTCAGTAGCGAGCTTATGGTATTCAAGGATTGAAATAAATATGAAAAAAAGTAACACATACCATCACCCAAACAAACTGTTGGCTCGGTAGTTTTCTCAAAACCAACACATATAGCCTTCAAAACGGCACATCTATACTTATATAAAAAGAATTACTATTTACTAAATATAGCAAGCAAAACAAATTTCAAAATTTCTAAATAAGGAAAGGATAGAAGTTTAAATAAAATATGGTTGCTTTAACAAACTTATAGGGAAAACAGAAAAAAAAATAGAAAAAAAATTTAATTCAAATTCAATTGTTAACAATTTCCTAATAATTTTCATGCAAATCTCTCATTCAAATTCAAATGCTAACAATTTCCTAATAACTTTCCTACAAAATTGCCCGCATAAATAATGATAGACATGAAATTTAGCAGTATTCAAAAGTTAAGGAGTAATTCAAATTGTGGAGAATTTAAAATGGTATGAGTTTGCATCATTCATTTTAGTTAAAAAAAAAAACTTAAATGAATTTTATTAAAACTTCATTTAATTAACTTGCACTAATTATACCGTCCATGCAAAGAAAAAAAAAAAACACAATTATATTTATGCACAGGCCCGGCCCTGGGCAAGCTGCGCGATGGCCCAGGGCCCATTAATAAAATGGGGCCTCATGTGTATAAATAAATTGCTATACATTTATAATATATGACTTTTTATAAGGCCCAACCCAATAAAAATTCATCTACGGGCAAGGGCAAATGAGCAAGCAATGCCTCCAATGGGCCCCACCTTTTAAAGTTGAATTGTACGACAAAAATGCAGCTCTAATCTTCTTGGCCAACCGTAATATAATGCCCCACTGAATAATAAGTTGAATTGAATTTCTTCTTTCCACTCTTGTATTTTGACAAATAAGATTCTTATTTTTTTGTCCTTCCAGTAAATTTCATTTCTAATAATAATAATAATAATAACAACAACAATAATGGGTGACTATTGAATACAAATATTATCTATATATATATAATTGCTAGCTAATCCCATTTAATAAAACATTTAATAAAAATATTTTCACTTTCCCTCCAAAAAGAGTTACATTTTTTTTAATTAATTACTCATTAATCTTACATTTAAGAAGGTTTTTTATAGTTAAATTTAATTAGTTAATGACTAAATTAAAAAGGTTTATTTTAATTAATTCCACATTTATTTATGTTAAGTACAGTATTATCTTAATATCTTATCAGTTTTTCAAAAAAATAGTAACTTTTTTCAATAAATTTTATAAAAATTAGTCAAATGTGCTTATATTCATATAAATCAGAAAAAAAATTAAATCTTAGATATATAAAAAGAACATCGTTGAAATAACTTGAATCCGCAAGGGTAATTCTATATTCATTAAAAAAATTAATATTATATTTACTCATTTATATTTAGATGGTATTTTTTTTTATTAAGAAGCAAGAACAATTCCTATCAATTAATAAGAGTCGAGGACAAACAATATAAACAAGTGTTTCCTATGCTATGACATGATCAATAAGAGTCAAAGACAGTCTCTGTCGCACGTCGGCTTACTACTGAAGAGCTCTGCATTTAGTCATGAGCAATTATACGTGGCGCTTTTTAGAGTTACGAGTCAGTGGAGTTTGAAGATTTTGATTTGAGCTGAGGGAGATTTTGACGATAGAAAAACCACGACGTTGTTTTATAAAGAAGTGTTTAAGAATATTTATATTTTTTATCTTAATTTTTTTCAATGAATTTGTTATGATTTTTACTATTGTTTATAATTTTTATTATTTTTTCATGTATCATATAGTTTTCCGTGCAAATGCCTAGTTTTGTTCATTTCGCGTACGAGGTATGGCATTTTCGGTACTGCCAATATAGGACCTGTTAATCGGCTGTTTCAAGTGGAGGACAATAATCTTTGTGCTACAAGTAAAATAAACTGCGTAAATTTGGCAGATGAGATCTAAGTTTGCTCAAATTTATTCATTATGTTTAGTTTAAGAAGTTGCTCTATCCATGCAAAGTGAATCAAACCCGTGCTTAAACATGTCCTAACCACTTCTGCTCTTATTGCTCATGTCAATCATTCTACTTTTGATCATCATAAATTGAATTATAATCAAATTGAAGGACCTCCCTATAGCTGAACTTACCAGAAAGTCCCGCAGCTTGCTATCCTCCTCTGCAGCTATCTCCTACAAGTTTTTTCCATATCTAATGTTGTTGTTCAGAAGTAATAGGAACAATATAATATTTCCTATAGAACAGTAGAAGCTCACCTCAAGGAAATAAATGGTCACATTCAATAAATTGAGCTAATCAAATGTGAGATAAATCAACCGCCCCTTATGCTCATGAAACGCGAAAGCTCAGACATAGCAAGAAGCTCAGAATAATTCCTTACAAAAACTCAAACTCAAATTTCACAGCTCAACCCATATAAATATGATTAAAAAAAAGCACAATAAAATTATAAAAGTGAATTCATTCTCAGAAAAAAACGCAACCACTTGGATGCTTTTTTAGGATTGGTTAACTGTAAGACGAGGAAAGGGAAGCACGAACGAGATGCGCTAATTCATAAATCAATTTCATACTATCCAAAATACTACAATCATTTTACTATTCATTCTTAAACACACTTGAATCTGCAACAAAAATTGAGACACCATACATGAAGCCAGCTCAAGTTTCCACAACCGGAAATGTTATTCGATTAAACCAATCCGCCAGTTTAAACTAAAAATTATAAAATTATGAAAATAATGGAAAATCGGACTCCAATAAATCCGATTTTTCGCACCTCGATGAATCGGAAAAGGCTTCCGATAACAGTACCTGTGACCGAAGAAGGAATATTCCGGTGATGACGTGGGAGTATCCGCGGAAGAAATATATATCATGTAGAGAGAGAAGAAATAGATCTCGTGCTATTAAAAAAAATCTCCACCAAATCCTTAATTAATATAACTTTATATATTAATTGTATAGATTCTATCTATGTAAATTTATCTTTATTTTATTTATCGTGTTCTCCCTTTTTATAGACTTTACAAAATAAACTTGAATGTAATCTAACTTAGTTAATGGGCTTCAGGCTCAATAAGTATATAGTAATGTCCACACAATAACAAGATTTTTTTAGAATTGAGACATTTTTTTAAGATCTTGAGATTAAAAGGTATCCTTGCAAGTCTTAGGGGTGTATTCTTTTCAGAATTCTAATAATTTTTAAAACTTTTTAGGATTTGTGAAATCCAAGCGTATTTAATAAGACTTTGTAAAATTTTAAAAAAATCTTGAGATATTCAACTAGGAAATTTGTAAAATTTTAAAAAAATCTTGAGATATTCAACTAGGTTTTTCCATGACCTTATGAGTATCTAAAAATCAAAAGGCATTCAATCACTATATATTCATTTCCTCTTAAGTTATTTGGTTAAGAGGGATTTCAGTGAGAAAGTATATATACCAAATGGCGTTACAAATCTCACCAATAGATAGCAGATTTTAAGGGATTTTACAAGATGGTGACAGTTTACTCTGTAAGCCATTTTTGTTCTTCTTGGAAGATATCAACATATGTTCTTGAAATATTAATATATCCATATTCTCAAAATATTGCTATCAAATTGTTATGTCTTACCATGATTTTTTATATTTATCATTATTTTATTTTTTCTTTATGAAAATTGTTGGAATTATAACAATTTCGAAGCCGCCCAATTCTGTATCAATCCATGATCAAAATTTTTAGACGCATAACTTATTCACAATTAGTTTAGCAAGGACCATAGTTGCTTATCTTTATTGCAGGGAGAAATTTGGGGACCTGTGAATGCGTGCACGTTTTGACGTAAGTCAAATTAATTAGTCTAATGCAAAAACATTTTTTTTTATCGAAACGATAGGAAAATCTTATATTCACCACAAAGTCGAGACGAGAGATCAGTAACTCAACCGAATAAGCAGACCAAAGGTCGAATTAGCTGAATAATTGACTCAAGTACAGAGAACTACACTTACAAGTTACAACGGACACCCCGCTGGTAGTCTAAAGTCAACCTACCCAAGCACACAAACCTCCAAAGGGAGAAAGAACACACAACCTACAACGCAAACAACTCCTAATAAGAGAATAAAAGCTCCTAACAGAAGAATACACCAAATACACCCCCATCGGCAGAAAAAAAGAATAAAAAAACAGACAGAACAAACTAAAACACCAAAACATATAACACTAGCAAACAAAATAAGTAAAAAACAACACTAAAAAACCTACTGCCCTCCCCTCCGTCCGAACGCACGCCGCACCCGCATCACTCGAGCCAAGACCCAAGCGACCACCCGCCACTGAACGCAAATCAACAAGATCAACGACCTACCCGAATGGCCACCACCAGGTCAACTCCTAGGAGACTCGCGAATAACTCCACCCCCAACCCACCCCTAAGGCAACGAACCCACACGAGCCGCGTCGGGAGCCGTCACCTGAGGACCCCTCCAAGTCCAGCACCAGGACAAGAAAAGGAACGGAGAACATAATTAACCGGTTATCTCGACCCCAGCCACTGACGCACGGCGGCCGGAGCCATCCTTGCCACAATCTCCCGTAAGCTAAAAGACCCTGCCATCCCCTACAACCAACCGGAAAAGGCGAGACGCCGTAGCGGGAGAGGCAGACGGCCTGCAGGGAGACGCGCCAATAGCCTAAGAGCCGATTCAGAGTAGTGGAGGCGGTGTGCTGGAGGAAGGGAGGCTCCGATGAGCTAAATTCAGCTAGGTTTATGAATTAGAGCTAATGCAACAACTTATGTATCTTAGTTTTATTGGAATTACTAGTAACGGTGGGGAAAAAATACCTAACCAAAAGCAATAATACATGTGAATAGAATATTATATGAATGTTATAATGATAGTTCGTGGGATATTTTGTTTTACTGTAATTTTTATTTTATTTTTATCGAAACGGTAGATTCTATAACTCAACAAATGTACATAGTTATTGGCAATGAGCCATACAATCAACCCCAAGGGAAGAATGGAGGAACACACAATAGAGGTGCCCTAAAAAAGGGAAAAGAAGCAGAATTGTCTGGGAATCTCTCGGCTGAGGCAAAGCAAAGAACCCGAACTATTCCATGACAATTTCGGGATTGCTCACTATAAGAACAAGCACAACAAAAGAGGGCTACCACTGCAACAGAGCCTAGCAGCCCACATTACCAAAACAACTAACTACAAAAGTAAAACACAAAAGAAACAAAACAGAACTACTAAAGCAGAACCAGCAAAAAGCAGAGCCTAAGCAAAAGAGGAGAACTCCATCCATTTTGAGAGAGCTATATCCACCACTGCTTTCCTTCTCTTCTAACATTTTGAAAAGCCCAGAGATTTCTGGTTTTCCACAACCACCAGAGGAGATAGGCTGAGAGTTGAATCCTGTCCTCTGATATGGTTGTGCAAGGCACAGTGCAAACCCCAGTCCACCATTCCTTAAAGCAGTCTGATTTATCTTTGAGTCCTTCCCAACTGACTGGTGCAATTTTCCAAACTTCATGTGCAACAGGGCAGTGAAAGAGCAAGTGCTCAATGTTCTCAAGATCCATACAAGAATAATCATTTTTAGTGACGATAATTTTTGTCGCTACGTCGTCAGAAAAAATACCGTCGCTAATAATGTCCTAATATTGTCGCTATATGTTCGAATGTCGTCACAATAATACCTCTTATTGTGACGGTATTTTTTGTGACGACATAGCGACAAAAATTATCGTCACTAAAAATGATTATTCTTGTTGGTGGCCACATCTTCTGCAAATGGGATCGACCTCCACTCCTTTTTTGATGAGGTTAATGTTGGTGGCAAGGGTATTATTTAAGCAAGACCAAAGGAAGTGTTTAATCTTTCCTTTGATCTTAAGCTTCCATGTCCTCTTTCTCATTTTGGTAGTTGCTTTGGGGTCTTTACTACTCTCTGGTGGGTCCCATCTGCTCAGTGCCTTCTGTTGCATCATATCATAGGCATATTTGACAGTAAATGTGATGTTAGGCCCTCCTTCCCCTATTAGATAGTCTGGTTTAGTGGGTTCAAGTTCTTTGACCTTCAGAATAGCTTGTACATCCCTAGAATTGAAGTTGTTGTTCAGGAGATCAACATTCCATCTTCTCCTAGTGGAGTCAAAGAGATCCTGGACCTTTACCAGAGCTGAAGAGGAGTGAGAGAGTTTTTGAGGGGTGTTGTTGGGGATTCCTGGGAGCCATGGAGTGTCCCATATGTTTGCTGACAGGCCATTTTGAATTCTGATCCTAGCTTTCTCCTTGAAGTCATCTCTAACTTCTAACCAAGTATTCCACATCCATGAGTTGGCACTAGTTTTTCTTGCTGTGAAGAAGTTATCACTGTGAAAGTACTTTGCCTTGAGCAACTTGCTGGTTAGAGAGTGAGGGTTAGTGAGCAGTCTCGAGAATTGCTTGCTAATAAGGGCTTTGTTCAAAGTCCTAACTTCCTTGAATCAAGGTCACCTTTTTCCTTTGGTTGAGATAAGTCTTCCAAGATTGCGAGTGGATAGATCTCCTGTTTCCAGCTTTTTTGCTCCACCAGAAAGTGGCTAGCATATGGGCTAATTTAGCCACCAATGTTTTGGGTAGAAGAAAACAACTCATTGCATACATAGGGAGGGCCGTTAACACTGACTTCAATAGGATCTCTTTACCTGCATGCGACAAAAACTTGTTTTTCCAATTGAACATTTTTTTCTCCACAGCTTCAATGATCAATTTGAATGTTTCAATTTTGGATTTCCCTAGGCCTAAGGGTAGGCCTAAGTACCTGGTGGATTGGTGAGGGGTGATGCCAGACAGGATATGGCAGATGTTTCTTTGGGTTGAAGGGCTCGTATTTTTGCTGAAAAAAATTGTGGATTTTTGTAATTTAACTTTTTGGCCTGTGACGAGGTTGAACTGTTTGAGAATATTCATAATGATATGAGGTTGTACTTTTTGGTGAGGTTGTTTTACTGTAATTGCTAATGATACTTGTGAATCTATGAACATTAGAGTTAATTGTAGATAGCATATAAGTTGAGATTACTTATATATAAGATAATTATTAAATTTCTATGTATATGTTCATTGTTTTGGCTAGTTTTGACTTATTTTTGGTTTAATGAATTTTATGTTGGTGGATACTATTATATGAATTTTCTAGATTATTTGATAATAGAATCATTTAACTTTAATTTGTGTATATTTGAATTTTATTGATTATATTGTTTATTCTCTTATTAATTTACATGTCACGTAATGTTTGTACTGATAAACGCGAAGATGATCTAATAGATATATAAAATTTGTACAAAAAGAATGAAAAATTATAACAAATCAAATTACTTTTGTACAAAAAGATGAATAAACAAATGAAAAATAAAAACACATTGAACTTTATTCAAATTGATTTTTCATTTTCTCCCATGTATAAATTACTTCACAAGTTGTTTATTTACATATTAATGTTTATTCAATTTACATATTAATGTTGATTAATGTTTATTCAATGAAGAAAAAAGTCTAAAAAAATCTTGAATTATTTTGAGAAATCTATGAAATTCATAACAGCAACTACATGTGACGTTTGGGGTTTCTAATAAATCCTACAAAATCAACAAAAATTGATAAAATGATATGAAATCCTATCCNAAAAAAAAAAAAAAATCTTTAATGGCTAAAAAATTCCTACATGTGACTTTTAGAATTAAGTAAAAAATTAAGTGGATCCCCGCTAAATGTGAATATACGTACCACTCACATTTTTCATATATAAAATATCTCAAAATTCCTACAAACAACGTCTGAAGCGACCAAAAACTTAGAAAGAAAAAGGGATGGCCGCCGTCACACATCTATCCAATTTGTGCTTCTCTAATGGCTCAATGGAGACGACAGCGCGTAGCAACCAACCATCGATGGCTTCTTCACTACTCGTGGCCGGTACAATTCGCCGGAAAGCGTTCCCCGGCTGTCGGATTATCGGGAAATGGAAGCCCTTACATTGCCGTCCGATGAGCACTGGGCGGACGGCGGCGCAAACAACTCCACCCTCATCTTCCCCGACATTAACCTATCCTTGGCTGATGCTCCCCCCCGTCTTGGAATCCGATTCCACCACCGCGGCTTACAAATTCTACAGCCTAGGCGAGAAGAGGGTCGTAACCCTAACCTGCGAAGGGGCGGCTCGAGAAGTAACCGCCAGCGGCGATGTCATGGTCTTCACTGGGTCTTCCCACGGGTGGGTCGGGCTTTGGAACCCCCACACCCACGATATGTTCCTCTACAACCCCATATCCCGCCGCCACATAAAGCTTCCCCCATTTCACCAACTCCCCAATTACAACCACGACTCGGTTTGGGACTCGGTTGGCGTGGAGAAGATCATCCTCTCCTCCACCCCGGACGACGAGGCCTGCAGGGCCGTGATTATCTACAAGCTGGACGGAATGATGGCCTTCTGCTGCCCGGGCCGGCCCAACGACACGTGGGCTCCAATGGGGGACCCGTTGGGCCCCCCGGACGACGGGATAAATCCGGCTGGCAGCTACAGTGACTGCGTCTACTCCCCCGGCCACGGGCTCTTCTTTGCCTTGACAAAATACTATAACTTGGAGTGTTGGGACCTGCAGGACCCGTGTTCCCCTGTTTCAACTAGGGTTGCTGATGATTTGCGTCTGCAGCCCAAGCCCACGACCCGGCTGGCGGTCATGGGCCGGGACATCCTCTTTGTGACTCCACACACGACTGACGTGGTGGACTTGGAGGGCCTGTGTTGGGTCGACTCTATGGACTACGGACTGAGGTTTTATAAGCCGTTTCCCTACCCGTTGACTATTGATTTCGATGTGGATAGATATGACCCGGAAGAAGGTGGGGGGGACCTGGTGAGGTGCTCCTCGCTCGGGAATTGGGCTCTTTTCGTGGGGGCCCGCAGCCACGCGGTTGCCTTGCCCGTGGCCCAGCTGCCCGGGCTCAGGCCCAATTCCATTTACTTCACGGATATGGAATGCACTGAGGTGTTTGAGAATGATCAACTGATCAACGGCCACGATAGTGGCATTTTTTATTATGAGAAGAAGACAGTGTCACCGTGCTATTATCCAGTCGATGTCCGCAGACTCAAGAAGATTTTCCCGGCGCCTATGTGGTTCTTCCCCAGCCTCGCCTCTAACTGATAGACGTGTTCGTATTTGTTTGGGATTTTTAAATATTTTTTAGTATTATTTAACTTGGGACTTTTTGAAGACATTTAATGTCTCAATTGAGATTTTTAAAAGTTTTAAAAAATCTTAAGTATTTTTAACTTATTTGAAATTGAGATTTGGTACAAACTTTTTAAAATTTGCTCGAAAAGTAAACTATGTACGAAATCTTACTCCAAATTCATAAAATTTTCATAACATTCCTCATAAATTTGAAAATTTTAAAACGTCTCAAATCTCAAAGTATTCAATTGTCACTCAAAATTCCAAACGAATAGCACTCTCCGGACTTGTTTTCATTCTAGATTAGGTAAGTTTTAATTTTTATGCTTCATGATTGAATTTTACTATTGCTATGGTTAAGTCGCAAGATGATATTTTTTTTTTCCGTTATTTTTTATGATGTTCACAACTTAGTTCTTTGATCAGCGGAGATTGAAAATATTGGTCTTTTTTAATTTTGTTAGCAAGCTATATGGCATCATCATGAATTATGATTCACTTCACAAATGGAAAATCTAAGGAAAAAAAAAAAAAAACACTGTAAATAGAGACCAAGGAGGCTTGTTTTGTGTTTTGACCCGGCCAAGTTATGTAACTGTTTCATTTCAAGGGACATTGGTTTGAGAGAAGTGACCACCTTTTTGTGAAAGCTTTAGATAAACCTTGCATCATATTGCAACTTTTTTTTTTTT